CTCATCCACTGCTGTCGACATTCTTGTTCCGGTACCCAGACATGATGAACCACCTTGAAGCAGCTCTTGTTCGCGACACATCAACCTGGATGAAGCCAACAGGAGTACCTCCCCACGTAGAGCTCTACAAGCAGCTACGGCAAGTGCAGGCATCAATTGATAACCTGCCTCCAGTTCTACTTGAAGGCATGTCCAATTTAATAGAGGAGAAGGGTGTAGCTGCCGGCAATATCACGAAGCAGGTACTGGAAGCTACAATTGAATCCTTACTGTTACGGGCAGGCCTTGCGCAAGGAGCAATGAGTCATGCACCACAACCAGTGCAGCATTCAGATGGTGATCAAGTGTATTATTACAGTGGGAAATTTCACTTACTGCCAGAGGAATTTGAGTTCCCCCGTACGGGTCCTTGCGGGGCATGGCAATTGTGGTGGTTTGGGGACAAATCACGAGGATGGCCTCCTTTGAAAAAAATCCATCCACACGACTTGCCAAAGCACAGCATGCGCAAGACGTTCTCAGATTGGGTCATGATGATAAAACATCTAACGGAGGCGGCCACAGCAGCTGGACTAGCAATTCCTACACAGCCAACAGAGAAAGAAGCATCCGAGATATTTAGTGTTGCTATCGAAAAACTCCAATTACCTCCAGCAAAACACAAACGCCGCCTAGCAGAGCTATCACTTCCCACCGTACTGCGCTTAGTCCGTGAAGCTCAGAGTGCTGACAAACGCCAAAGAGGTTCCGATAACCCATAGTTACTACCAATCATGTCACGCGACGCATATAATAACTACCAATCCTCTTTCGTCATACTGCGTAGGTCACCCATCCTACGTTATTTTCAGATAAGTGATTGTGAAAAAGGTACTTTTAATAGAGGGCGGTAGTGAGCGGGTATGAGGAGCGTAGTCGAAGCAAACCCGAGCGGGGTGCCCGCGAAGCAGGGCCGCTCGGTATTTGAGTAGGCGGGCCCAGCGATGAACTCACCAGCGAAAGGACCCGCAACACCCTCCAGAACATGTTTTTCTAATGCGGGGGTCTGGGGTGCACCCCCCAGTATGCTTTTAGTAGTGGCTCTTTTCCGGTATACCGATATTTCTGTGCAATTCAACCGTCGGTTCTGTGGATTTGCTTATTCTGTCTGTGCTATTCTACCGCTCTCTTTATGATGTGCCTTTCAAAGTAATTATTCTGGCTTACATTATCTTCTCAGCCTTAATCATGCCCTATGGTCAGCTAATTCCGTGTTAATTATGGGTTGCTTCATCTCCGCCGGTTTTAGGGCGGGGACCGTGAGCCTTCTTTAAGGCGGAATAAGCTAATCAAAGCCGACTTAGAGGGATAAAAAGGTTTGCTGGCAGCCATTCTACCTGAAACCACGCGTATCACAGCCGATTGGATCTAACTCGCTGGTCAGCGATGTTGGGGAAGACTTCACAATCTTATGCTTAACTAGCATTAAATGTGTGCTGACAGCCTTTTATGGAACTAATTCCACCTGAATTAAGACACTACCCGCCAATACAAGTGAAAGACACAAATATGTTGATTAGTAACTATTTAAATAGTTACCTTGTTAACAATATTTTTTGTTTGCCGTAGGCCGTAAACCTTCTGCCTGTGCATGCTGAAGAATATTCAAACCCCTCAAAATGATGCCATCGGCAAGGCATGGGGACCTTGAACTGAAGTTTTGTACGTGTAGCTACACCCATGCTGACCTGTTAAAACTTTTAACTTAAAAAAGGGTGGCATGAAAAATAGTCTCGTTTTCCCTGAACATTAACTCGGCGGATTGGGTACATATTGTATATGACGATTGCTTGTGTTCCTCGGATCGTCAACATTGATGACGATACTTTTCGAGCATGTCACGTGACCATAAATACTTTGTCCTAGTTTAGGAGAATCCCCATAAGCACCAGAGGACTGTCTCACTGAACTTGATCCAAAATCTCAGTACGTGAAACAAAGTTAGGCATTTAGAACATGCCATCAACATTTTGCTTAGGCCGTCGCGTTCAACAACGTAGCCGATCGCTGTGTAGGCTATCGATGAGCTCAGAAACATGTACTGTGAGCAGTATGACAAGTAAATTGGGTATATAGAATGTTCTGCACTGATAACATTCTGTAATGAATAACGGGCGTGCTTGGTAGACATGTCACTGATTCCGCACAATCGAGAACGACACTACCAAGTACGACGTTCCTAGACATCAAAATTACTTCGAGTGATCGAATATCATCAACGCACGCTGAAGCGATAGGACAAGATCACATTTGCTTCTTCTTCTTCTTTAGCTGCGCCTTGTACTGGATCAAGTATACTGCGTAGTCAGAGTACCTTTCGATGAAGCGGCCTTCTGGCATCAAGATCCATGAGGAATTGGCTACCACGTTCACTCCTTTCGCCTCCAGGAACTTTACACGTGGGCGGAGTATGCGGTTCTCATTGCGCATAACAAACCTTGTGCACTGCTTCAGTCGCTCTTTGGTGAAGCCGATTGAGCGCAGATAGTTGTAGGCTCGACGGATTTCGCTGATGTTGTGCATGAGGATGCGCGAGTTTCCGACTAGAGCCATAACACCTGCCCCGTCACCAAACATTTCTTCCACCGCGTCCATAGTCTCTTTAATTCGAGATGTCTTCAAACCAAGAAACTGAGGCACTCTAGCCATAATGGCTGGGATGTGCTCTGGAGGAACGCCCATCTCTTCCAGATAATCCACGTTGGTTTGTATTTTTTCGACGCTATAGCCGAGTACCCGAGGGGCCATCGTCAGTATGCGTGCAACTTGATCATCATTACACCCAAGTTCTTTAAGAACATCAACTTTCTCGTCCAACTTCGCCATGCTGAACGCCGCTACTTCGGGGAACACGTTGATCAGGTACGAACTCTGGAAAGAGCACGAAATATGTTAGTACAACGAGTAATTCTACAAACAGAGCGCACCAAGTATCAGCTCCATTTACTTTTTGCTCTGGCACTCCGTGGGATATAAACCATTGGATAATTGCTTCTAGTTTCTCGAAAGAGCACCCCAAAATGACCGGATGACGTGCAAGAACATCATTGATCTTGCCATGGCTGAGACCCAAGTTACTCATCCACTCAATCTGTACAATCAGTCACCCCACAGCCGCGCAACTGAGCATTTGCATCCTTGTTATTTCTGCAGAATAATCCGTACCTTGCTTTCCATCATTTTCTGCGAGTAACCGGTGATCTGTGTCCCCCATAGCTGCAAGTCAGCACTTTACCATTAGCGTATTAGAAGTTACAAGCTTACCAGGACATGTCGAGAAATAGCTCGCAGCGCTTGCGTCTGGTTAAGGCCTCGATTTGTCAAAAAGCGAGCTGTTCGGTCCACCGCCTCCATGGACAGCGACCCGAGCTGTGCTGGGTACTTACGCGTCAACCGCGCGTAGTAAATGGACTGCTGCCTACGTGCAGCCACTGCATCGTCCACGGGCTTCACCGGGGCTGCTGCAAAACTCCTCGAGAGCGCCAGCAGCGGTCGAGGGCGGCACTGCAGCCGGAGCAGCATCTCGACGCTGGGTTCTTTTCCAAAAGTTGGGTTTTCTGATCAAAAACCCTGTCCATAAATTCTCTTATTTTTTAAGATGATAAATTTCCAAGAATAATTCTCACAGTATTGTGTTTTTTTATGCAAGCACAATTGACAGAAACCCAATCAGTTTTACTGGAGGTTTTGTAAATTTTAAAAAAGTAACAGAAATGTCAAGCTCAAAATTAAATCCATATTTACTTATTTTCTTCATTAGAGTTATGCAGGGCAAAAGTTTTTGAACTGGTGTACAGTGCTGCTAAAAACTATAGCCGCATTCATTTTTTTTGACGCAACGCAAGCAATACTTAATCCCAGCGGATGACGCTTGGTCTAAAGTCTATAATTACGACTACAAATAGATAAAACCAGAGCGTTTTGTGGTTGAAGTGTTATTGAAAACACAATCAAAAAATTTAAGTTGGGGAAGTGTTCTAAATTATAGACGCACTTTCCGAAACGGCTCATTTGTCAATGGGACCACCGTTTTTGAGCACAACTT